TCTCGCCACAGGCGTCACCCTTATGATCCTTCAGTCCGGCAGTACACATGCCTCTAGATGGCAAGGACAAAACATGCTTCCACCCCCGGACGGGCTGGTTCTACCCTATCCCGCGCTGAACATGAAGATAGAAAGCTGGATGACAGAAGAGCAAATGGCGTTGATCCAAGAGAAAAGCACACGTCGAACCAATGAGAGCGTGCTCCGCAGGAAAGACATGGACTATCACCGATTGACGCCTTTTACTTCTCCGGGAACATCGTTCGGAGATTTCCAGCGTGACTCTTTCTCTGATGCAGACTTGGAAGTTGGAAATTTGGTTGACGCGACCTCGGAGAAGTTGGCACAGCAACAGAAGGTGGACATTCCTGAAAATGAAGCGGCTGCTATCACTGAGCACCAGCCTAAGCAGATCCAAACACGGCTGGCCGTCTCATCGATGATATCGTACGTCAACGATCGTATATTAACCCCTGAGATGATGAGGGCAATGATCATCCTATATATCGGACCGCACAACCGCCCCGACTTCAATACGGACTACCTACTCTCCCCAGCTTTGGCTCCCGAAGACCTTCTAGCACGCTTTCCCAAGACGTACATTATCACCGGAGAACGTGACCCTCTAGTAGACGACACGGTCATCTTCGCCGGGCGACTGAGACACGCTAAGCTCCGCCAATTTCAGGAACGACAAGAACTGGGCCTCGAAAAGTCTTATCGTAGGTTCAACGCTAAAGACCACGTCGAGGTATCCCTATTGCCCGGAATATCTCACGGGTTCATGCAAATGGCAGGCTTCTTTCCGGATAGCTGGAAGCACATCTATCGCTGCGCAAGTTGGATTCAAGATCTATTTGACCTCGCCCAGGCTAAAAGATCATCCTCTTATACTAAGGCCCTCACCAACGGTACACAGATACCAAAGGGACCTAAGTCCGTTCCTCGTGGAAACAACTCGCGCAATCACAGACGTCATCTCACCGGAGAGTCATCCGGCGACGAGGATAGGCCTCTCGAGATAGGCATCAAGAAATTGACACCACTGACGCCACTGCATCGCAGCTCCAGCGCCCCCATCGACAGTACCGATATTGATAGTCAAGCTATCGCTGCCAAGGATGGCGACAGCGAGGATGCTAAAAAGGAACGCATTCGTAGCGTCTCCCGAGGGCGAACTCTGCGACCAGGAATCACCAAGAAACAGCGTCCCACACCCATGAGGTTAACGATCCCTCCTCGAGACGGGTATATCTCTGGATCGCCGAGTCCTGTTCCTTTGCGGGAGAGAAACCGAAGTATCAACAGCCTTGCCAGCGAGGAAGACCTGATTGACCGGCGCATGAATGGTATAGCTGGAGGGTTGATGGGAATTGGCGAGGGTGCCAGGACGCCTTAGCCACCGCTTTTGGAGGATGTGTATGCATTGAATTTGTTTTTGTGAGCCTATATAGATATCTTACTACACTTGAGCATTTAGCGACCAAACATACCTGATGTGAAACGTTTCCAAACTTGGCAACTGTAAGAACTAAATACAGGCAGTACTAGTCATCATATGACGAACAGGAGGCTGTGTGTTCAATACCGGTTATACGCGGATTCGGATGAAACTGCAGTAAGCCCCTTAACTGAACCCACGTGGTTGGTGTACATACATTCCATGATATGTCGCATACCCTATCCTATAATTTCCTTTTTTACTACCCATCTACATATGTACAAGTCATCAGACCCTCATTGATACATCAATTCATCTCATATATGCACGCATTCCCATCTGAAACCATCCAATCATGTCCTGGTCATCTTTTGGGTCGGTCTCCATCAATTGAAGTTAAGAGGTATAGTCCCCCTTCGCGGAAAGACTATCAATTCTACCAAGCAGGAACTCCAACTGGCGGTAAGCCGCACCAGGAACATACTGCGGGATTTCTATCACGAAGGAAAGAACAATCAGCACTCTTTCAACCGTTCATCATACTTTGTCCGAAGGGAATAAGATGAACTTACCATGACCGGACAAATACACCGAGCTGAAAGTCAGCCCACGCTCGGTATGCGCCGTACCCAGGTACCCAGCACCGGCATCAAGGTTATACGGGTCGGGCTCATCACCCCAGTACAGCTCAGCCAGACCGTAGTGGTAAGGAACGAAGAGCGGCTCCACGGGGGGGCTCTGGAACCCTTGCTTACCGTTCCAGGTCATGTTCTGAATGGTGGCGAGGGAGCCGTTCAAGAAGAGGAGGTAATCGAGCCAGCCGTGGCCAATGATGGTGTTGTTAGTGCGTTCGATGACGCTGGGTAGGGGACCCCAGGAACTGGGGTCGCTGCCGTCGCCGTTGGCGAAGATGACGGTCTCCGAGCACACGGAGTAGTCGGTCGGAGGGACGTGCAGGATCTTCTGGACGTCGGAGCGGTTGAAGTAGTTGTCCGGGCCGGTGCCGAGGGAGGGGAAGCCGAGCACGTCCCACAGGTAGGGGCAGAAGTCGATCAGGTGGTAGTAGTTGAAGCAGGGGTTGATGTCGTAGGCGGCCATGACGACTTCATCCCAGACTTGGCAGTCTTCGGTGATTTCGGGGGCCGTGGGGAAGGGGCTGGGAGGGGGGTACGTGATGGCTTTGTCGAGGAAGGCGTTGTAGCCGCACTTGTCGGCTTTGGCGTTGATGTAGGAGAGGAAGGTGGAGTTTAGTCGGAAGATGTTGTTGTAGTGGTTGAGATGGCGGACAGCCGGGGCTGGTGGGTGATGTGGTTAGTGATGGTGTTGGTGGTGGATTATGAGGTATATAAGGGGGAACGTACAGTACATCATCACCGAGTCGCTGTTGATGGACGGGTCGTTGATTTGGATACCCTTCAGGTTGAAGTAGGTTGTATCCTCCTCATTCAGCATGGCGTCGGCAATGTAAGGAACGTACATGCCCGCGTAGCTTTCGCCGGTGATGTAGACCTTGCGGCCGTGCAGGTCGAAGGTGTCGACGAAGTGCTTGAACCAGCTGTTAAATTGGGCAGCCACGTCTTCCTCGTCGTTGACCGTCGACGGGCCAGGGGAGAAGCCTGTGCCGGCGGGTTGGTCAATGTAGACCACGTTTGTGAGGTTGGTCCATGAGTATGGATTGGGGACGGGCTTGTAAGTGCCGGGCTGCCAGAGGAAAGGGCCATTTTCTTGAAGCAGGCCATCTAGGGAACTACAGCCGGGGCCACCGTTGAGCCAGATGGTGATCTTTGTCAAGTATTAGCCCGCTGAGGCAAGACCGAGAGATTGAACAACCACTAACCTCATCGCTGGCCTCTGGGTTCTGCGAGGGGAAAAACCAGAAGAACAGGCTGGAATTTCCAGTCGGCGTATTGGGGAGAAGACCGGCGTAGGACTCGCCGACGTCGAAATCGACTTCGGGGATGCTCGTGCCATTGACGAGGAATCCTGCAATTGAAATTAGTAAGACGGAGATATGCGGTTAGTGACGGTATGACGCACTTGCAGTCTTGTTTGTCAAATACTCAAAGTCGTTGGATTGGCGCTCAACGGGTACGGCGCGAGACGCTATGCTGCGATGTGTGAGAGGGGGCGGAACAGCCCGACGATGGGGATTCTGAAGACTGGCGGCCGTGCCGACCAGTAGCAACGAAGCAAATGCCGATGTAATCCGCATATTGAGAACTCTCTCTCGAAATTGGTGTGAGAAAAGAACTCACTTGAGCGGAGGATTCTGAGAACTTCATCCATCGTTGGGGCATGCATGGTCCCTATTTATGTAGTTCCCCCGAGGCAAGGACGGCCCTTTTGCACATTAGGCAGCATTGCCAACAATGGACCCATCTCATGCGGAAGCGAGGGAATTGCGTGTGGGCTCATTGAGACACTCTCCCTATTCAGGCAGGTCTCCGCTTGATTTGAGAGGGAAATAAGAGGAGGCCGTCGGAGAGCCGGACGGGGTCTGGAGAGAGGTAACGTTGGCCCGCAGTTGAAGTGGTCGAAGGAAGCATCGGATCTGCAGGAAACTGGATACTGACATCGACTAGGCAATCTAGTCGCGGAACGCGCCTGCGAATCACGAAGCGGAGTTATATGACGAGAAAATTGAGCTTGATCCACTCGCCAGGATGTAGGTTTGAAGTTACCGGTAGCTGCTCGCTCAGTACGACGTCGAATGACTGGCCTTTATCAGGGCAAATGATGATGTGCTGATACCGGCTCGGGGGATATGCAGGGATACCAAGTAACCGACGCAGGCTTCCTCCACTTCCGTATTGTCATGACGCCACAGCCACGCTTCGCGTCGGCTTCGCAATGGCATCCTGCCGACACTGAAAGGCTCAAGAATATTCATTCCTTCTTTGTTGATAGTCCCTTAGGGTTGGGTTGTTCCCCCGGACCACCGATACAACCCGTGGCCCACGAGCGTACCAATCACCGACCGAGAACCTAGTGTATGTGGAACCCTATCGTACCTCCCTCAACAGTAAGCTTCAGTAGTGCACAAGCTATGCTGGCGAAGAATGGGAACGAAAGTGGTCTCCAACGCACCATATGAACAATTCTCCGAAGCATAGTTAGGACCGGCTGCACTCGGTCAACATCGGTCACATACTGCGAAAGCATACCTTTGAGCTTAATTAGCAAGCCAATATGCTCATGTGAAAGTTAACAAGTTGGTCATCGCTAGTTGCAAACTTTCCATCATGTGGGCAATTCAAGTCGCCGTAGACTGTAGCTGGCTGAACCATCTGGGGCACGGGTCTCGAAGCGACCCCGGGCATCCACTAGCTCTGTCACAAAAAACAGTCCTTCTAGAAATCTGCATGCAGCAAATGACAGCGTGGCTGGCTGACGATCAACAGTTTCACGCGATGCTCGTGATGCTTGCAAAATCCAATTGTGCCCCATTAGCTGCTGTTCCGACCTGCAGGCCATCATAGGAGTCGTTCCAAGACAATACCCATCTGTTTTCTTTTTTTTTTTTTCAAAAAGCTTGAACTCAATCTGCAAGGCATTGCATCGTAATAGTCAAAGACAGCAGGGGATTAGTTCGAGAATTTAGGGAGCGTCTGAAATCCGCAGGAGTAGGAGTGGGCAGCGATGGCGAAAGCAAGTCTGCTACGCTCACATGACGCTGCAAATGGGACAAACCACGGCCTTTTCATATTTTCACTTATTTTTCTCTTTAGAAGACACCTGAAGGCATGGAGCTGTCAGTCTCGAGTTGACCCCCCCGGCTTCGTTATTGTATCGTGTCAACATGCATTCCTCGCCGACAATGTTATTGACAATTGCTTTAGTGAGTCAGCTTGGTTGCAGAATATACTTTAATGCTCTAAGGTTAGGGGAAATGGATGTACTATCGGGCCGCTCAGTCAAGCTCCCCCAATCACAGTGTTCAACTGGTAGGGAGTAAGTAATCGGAGGCTCGCAGAAGATGATGGGCATTTCGTCAAATTTGACGTCTTCGGTGAAAAAGCAAGCGCACTTCTAAACGATCCCGTGTCTTGGAAAAAGCAATCGCAGTTATTGACTGGCTCACAGCAGTACGGACTCCATCGCCTATCATGCAGGGGAATAGGGTCCTAGATCGGCAGTTCGCGAAGTGCCTGGCTGGTGGCATGCCGCTTCGTTGACATGGACTAGGTACATACGAAATGTCTCGATGCTTACAACGAAGAACCTGGGACCAGGACAGTTCCAGGGCAGAGATTATCTGAGCCGCAACATCGGCTTCATAAACGTCCTTATGGAGAAAGACATGCTGCAGGACAAGGCCCAAAAAAATACCTTTATCCGACTAGATGGGGAACGAGACTCCCCGCAATCTTACGCTGATTATAGAACGATACGCGATGAAGCCTAGGGAGTCATGGTGGAAGAAATGAGACTGTGCTCAAGGGCCTATGTTGTCGGTCAATTAGCCCCGTGTAATGAGCGGTTCGTGATGTGAGTCCTGATTCATCTAAAGTTGCCGTTAGATGAAGACTCTTCTACATCCACGGATTCAAAAGGTCTTGACATACTTGCCAACCGACCGCATGAAATCTTCGCACGAAAGTGCTACTCGCACTAGCATATACAAAGCTAAGTTGTGTGTATAACTGCAGGGAGACTACTAAGAAAATATAAGCTTCCCAGTGGTGTTAGCTGACTCGGCTGATCTTTTTCTATCACAGGGGAAACCCCAGTATGCATCTTTGCCGTTTTATTGTAAGGAAAGTACTATGGCCTTAATCAGTTGTGTGAGATCGGGTGACACTTGAGCCCACTGCCCTGATAGAAGTCCCAACTCATTATTGTCTACTATATCTGTTACTAGCAGGCAGCATGGCGACTTTGATGGACCAAATGGGGCAATAGATGCACGCCGTATCGCCGCATAACCGGAACTGAGTGATCATCTGAGTCCGAAGCCCGACACGTTTGACGGGGTAAGAAGAATATGCCTTCCATCTTTTCTCATCTGATTGCGTTCTTCCAGCCTCGATGGCGCTCCGTGAAGCGCTTTACGGTCACCAAGTTGTCCCTGGGATGGTTGCGGCTTCATAGATTCGCGAGCCAGGAGAGGGTCGTTGTGCTGCGATCGAGACTTTTGCTAAGCTTAGACCTCCAAAGTCTGGCTCAAAAGGCAGATCGTCCAAGTCGGATAACTGGGGCCGGTTTGTCCGTATCGAGAGAACACCTTAAACTATTGGTTCAAGGATCGCTTCATAATCCAAACTCTCGGTTCTGTTGGGCTAGACATTAACAACCCATTGTTGGATTTTGTCCGCACCAGACACGCTGATCGAACTTCGATCGCCGACTATTCTCTTGTCTCCGTTGACCGGAGGAGTGAGGCCCTGCGAAAACTATTCTTCTAACTTATCATCTTATCATTTGCGACCGAATTTTCCTAAGTGGTCACTATCCAATCCTTGTTAGCAACGGACCGACCGTTGTGGCACACACCCTTTCACGGTCGGGAGCTGGGACGCGTTCCCTCTCTTTGGCAGCTAGTGGCATCATGCCCTTGAACAATGCTGGGTGATTGACCCGACGCTAACACGCGACGGCGGCTTTAGTTTAATGATCTGATGGGAAAGTATGTCCATTACTGTGCCTGGCCCGCTTCCGGTGCTGCTGGACGTGATCGGGGTTCGGCTTCAGCCAAGGAACCAGCTGTAAGTCTCGTTATCAAGTTTCCATTGACAGTGAAAGCATCCGATAAAAGAGGGGCGTTGATGAAGATACAAATGAACAAAGTGAAGCCGGCCTGCAATTGCCGGGATTGGCATGCAGCACCCAATAAGTCATCCGATTGCATCACACCGATGCACCAATGGGTGATGATGATCGTCATGAGGGAGAGGGGATAGGATCATCATGATTGGATGGTCCGTCCGCCCATTGGAGCTGGTGCTACCGTAGGAGTGCCACTAGTCGCAAGATAAATGGGGCCTTCTGAATTAAACTCACGCAAGACGAGAGGTGCGAATATTCGGAACGGGGCTCCGCGAGGTGCCCAGACTTGATGCTTTCTATCCTTCCATGTCTACTCTTCTTCAACCACAAACATGTGAGCATGCCCCTGGAAGAAGCGTGGGAAACAATAGCAATCAATGCATTGAATGCAAGGACTGTTTTTTTCAGCCAGTGAGGTTGCAAATCAGCTGCAGTCGGAGCAATAGTCAGAAAGTCAAGTTGATGGGCATGACCGACGTGTACCCTTCACCGCAGACGGGATCTCCATGAGGTGCTTCTCCCTAACATCCGAACCATCGCCGCCGACAATGGCGTGCTCTGGAGCTATACATCATCATCATCCCCATCCCCCATCCACTTTCTGCATCTCGTGTGCTCGTCGGCATGTTACTTAACTCTGCCCTCCCAACGTCGCACAGGACCATGGATCTCTTGCTGTCTGGGCCTGCCTTCGTGTCACGCTTTGCCCCCTTTTAAATCCGACCATCCTCGTCCCTCCTGCTCCTCACTCACCGCATCGACCTCCCCGTCCGGGGTTCTCTGGTATCTACCCGTCGATCGCCTTCCACCACCCCCTTCTAGATGCAGCAGGTCGGGTGGGCGACTTGGGACCGCCAAATGGCCGCCACAACCCTCGTCAACGTCCGCGATGCGAGTAGCACCCAGCCCCTGCTCGGTGCTGATGAGTACGATGCCTATTCGTGGGTGTTGCTAGAGGACCATCCGTTGCGCTCTCATCCTACGGAATGTTGTCCCGGTGTACTTTGGGTACTTCGAAAATGCTGTGCCGCAGTGACCAAGAGATGGAGTGATCGCGCGCTTACTCTGATCTGTTTGTTCTTGATGTTCTTGTACGTCTTCTACCAGCTGTCGGTAGGCACGCGATTAGGGCTTACTAACTCACTTCTAGAGTGGCGATTCAATTTCTCTCGCTCTTGCCATACGGCGTCTCCTATCTTTTCCTACACGAGCAGTACAATGCACAATCGGGATTTATTCATTGGCCCGCAGAGTTTGAAGGCCAGCCAGCTGCTTGTATATCCTATAACCCACGAGCTCATGCAAATTCCATTCAGTACTCCCTTGCGGCGGGCTGTACTGGAGTCAAGGCCGATATCTGGCTACAGGACGATGTCATTCTTGTAGGCTCTTCATTGTCGAGCCTCAGGAACGAGTCCACGCTGCGCAAGGTGTATCTGGAGCCACTTTTGGACCACTTTGATGCTATGAGCTTATCTGAGGCTCAGCCTGACCATGATTCCATGGTCGCGACAGGATTGTTTGGACAGGATTCACTACAATTCAAATTGTATTTGGAGATCCGGTCCTCTGCAGACAACATGTGGCCTCGTCTCTTATCTGAACTAGTGCTTCTCAGCGAACGTGGGTATCTTACCCACCGAAATGGGACGCAGGTTGTCCCAGGGCCTATTACTGTTGTTTTGACAGGTCGAGAGCAAGTGGACCTTGATGGTCTTTCCATCGACCATGAGAGCGTTGGCAAGAGCATCTTCTTGGATGAATCGCTCGTAACAGAAGTCGAAGAGTCTGCTGCTGTCCAGACCTCGACGGAAGACGAAATGGAAATATCTGAGCAGAGCTTACCAGGGACCTTTCCCCGCTCCGACGAAGATCCGTCTCTGACCAAGGCGCTTCAAATGTACAGTGCCTCGATCAACTTTGCCGAGACCATTGGATCGCCTCATCGCGGGCGATTTTCTCGACAGCAGATCGAAAGGATCCAGAGTCAAGTGCAAACCGCGCATCAAAAGGGGTTGCTGGCTCGGTACGAAGGCATACCGTGCCACTCGGAAGGGATGCGCCGCATTATCTGGCGTATCTTGGTGAACGAGGGGGCCGATCTGATCGAGGTAGACTGGACAGGGTGTGCTAGCCGGGGCTGGCGGCGATTCTTCAGCATCGGGTCGCGGGGGACCGTTCCGGCCGCCAGCCACCCGCTGCATCCTCCCAGGACATGGGGCAAGTAGTTGTGTCCCGTGAGGCAGAAACTATTCTATGATAATGATTAGTGCTTTTAATTAATGCAAATGATACCCAGTACTGCACATTACATGTGTTCCGTCAGTAAATGCTCAAGACCCAGGAGTGTGCTAGCTCAACTAGTCTGTTACATGGTATGGTCAGGAGTGGCGATGACACCGACCACATGAACGAAATGAAAGAAGGGGTATGCAAGGGGAGCTTGACTTTAAATCATCAGCAATGTGGGGAATGCCATCGATCTCATAGTACATGCCTTGGCAGGTATCTAAGCATTGCAATCATCCAGAGCCAAGATTAACTGGATAATTGATTTAAACCGAAGAATGTACGCTGACACGTCCGAGGGGTGTGGACCTAGTACGTAGCAGTTATGGTATACTATGGTACCCATTCTGCATATAGATTTCCTTATCTTCAGCTCCAGTAGTACTCTGTAATTACTACAAGTGTATGGTGGGTTGAAATCCCCCGACTTCCTTTGTTCTCATTAATACTACATTTTTCTTTTCCTCGACCTACACCCCTCCAAATGCCACAACAGTGTATAAGATCCGATCGAAAAAATTTAACTATATAACTAGATAAGTTACTTCATAGTGCTGACTGAGGAACAAGAAAGGAGGGTCACATCGGTCAGGATCGGCAGGTTCAGACATTGCAGGGTGGGGAAAAATAAAGAGGCATTTCTTGCTGTCATTAGTCATGGCTGCTGCTTGCTGCACCTGTACCCCATGCTTGATACTTTCAGGGTGCCAATCCATCCTGCAGGTCGCAGCAACAGCAGCAGCATGCCTTTCGGGCTGCACGGGTGTACAAGTATAGTGCTACTATGCTTGGTATATTGTGTGTCGCTAGCCGGGTTGAGGCGGAGGGAACGAAAACCACTAGCCAGTCATTGTTGTAGGGATAGTAAGACTTTTAATTAGTTCCCCTTTTCTCTTATCTCAAAATTATTTTCAAATTGTCTGTGTTATGCTGGATGTCGCCTTCATACTTGAATGTCCGTGAGGAATTCTGCACATCTGGGGGAAGAATAAAAATAATGAAATGTGAGTGTTTTTTTGGTTACCCACCCGCCTAGTAGATTATCCACTGGAAGGACGCATGACACGTCGCCGGGCTGCATGGCATGGATGCCAACGGGCAGCGATCGGGTGGAGAGGGAGGGGGGAGGGTTGCTGAAAGAGTGGCCAGGTTGAAGGATTGGGCATCGTTAGTAAGTAGTAGCAAGTCAGAGTTGTAACCGTGATGTATCGAATACTAATAAAAATAATAGGGAAGTATGTTGGAAGTCCAAAGGAATTAATTGTAAGGAGGGATCCACCCAGGTTTCCCCGCTTTCCCACGACGGCCCCATCGGGCCAACTTGGATTTGCAGCCTCTCCGACACACTCAAGTTGAGAGCTCGTCCTTTTCTGCTTTCTGCTTCGTCTGATTGAAATCGATCCGACTAGCAGCTCTTTTGCATGCGCTTGATTGGCCTGAAAGCCCTCCGATGTGTCCTCACAGGGAACTCTTGCGCCGTTTCCCTGGCTCCGTCGCTCACCGTTTTTCCCTAATTCTCTTCCTGTCCCGTTCCCTCGCTCGCTCGCTCTCTCTTCCTCTCTCTCCACTCGTCTTTTCCTCTTTCTCTCCCTCCCCTTCTCCTGCTTTTCGCTGCGTGCTTCCATCCTTTCTCTCCTCCCTCCATCCACAGAGCTTTCGGAGCTGCTTCTAGTTCCATTTCTCATATCCATTCCTCTCCCTCCCCTTCCTCCACTTGCTCTCCATATCCTCCCCTCCCCTTATCACCGGTTGAATTGAAACGGCTACCAGATCCGACTGAAGATCTCCGTGTTCTGTTTTTCTTCTTCCTTCCCCACCCTCCCGTTCGGGGTCGATTAAACTCAACTTTTACCGCCATTTCGCGACCTTACCTTAACTGACTGACTGACTGACAACCATCCGCGCCCGAACCCCAACCCAATTCTTTCCTTCACCCCCAGTCAATCAATCAAAACCTTCATGCTGCCAGCAATCCCCATTCGTCCCAATCCACCCCTCCCCTGAAGATGATGATGGATTTTCAGAAACACCATCCTCATCATCCATACCATACGCACCCGTCCATGTTGGGCGTCGTCGCCCACGACCCTCGTGCTGCGCCCCCCGCGCCGCCAGCTCGCGCCTACGGGCCTCCACCACCATCACACCCTTCCTCACCACGCATGTTTTACGACCATTTCCATCGCCGCGAGCCCGAGATGCCTCGATCCGGTATCAACCCAACCTACAGTTACCCGCCCTCCTCGGTCGCTACCTCCGTGCCTCCCGTCTCATACGCCCATGAGAACGCCTATGCGGCATATCGGACAGAGAGCAATGGGTATCACACATCAGCAGCGAGCCATGTCTCGCTGAAGGAGCAGAGTCTTCCCGGGGGTAATCGAGAGCCTGAACATCGTCCAGACCCTCATTACCCGGTCAGCCACATCAACAAGCCCGAACGTCGGGTGGTATATCGTGAAGGTAGGCAACTTGCATTTTCTTCGGATATGATATCGCTTCAAGTTATATTAAATTGCCCGATAACCCCCAAATAATCCTCTGCTTTTATGCGGTACTCTCTTCTTTTTTGTTTTGGGTCTTTTGTTTTCTTGATTTCTATCCATGTTGGGATGTGACTACGAGACCGGTATACGGGAGTGTCAGACCATGATCGCGTCGCGATGACTGGACCTCTGGGGGCATGACTAGAAGCAAGTAAGATGCGAGAAGGAGAAGAAGCTGTCCGAACTGGGAGGATGCAAAGAAGAAGAAAAAACCTCCTTCGATCGGAGTCTAGCCATCTGCGAGGGTGCAGTGTGGCGCGGCTGCAGCATTTGTTTATCCGTACTACAATCCCAGCGTCACTGCCAGATTCCGACAAGGAACCCAAACTTTGTGCCCGGCAGTGCGAGCCAATCAGGGGCGGTGCAGTCGGCGCGTCTGTGGCGCCTGATCGACTTCCAGCCCAGGAAGCCTCGGGAGCGCTATACCCGATCCGGGCTAGTCCTGGATGCCAGGGCATCGCTTCCCAAGTGGGACTAGTGTCGGACATGAGCTCGTCCAGGCCCAGAGTCACGGGTTCTGCCCCAGTTCGGAACTCGCTTTGCTTGTCGCGCGCCATTCTTTCTTCCTTCGCCGCCCATCAGCTGCTGCCATCGTCATCTTCCTCCCTCCTTCACTCCCATCTCCCTTCCCTCTCTTTTCGCCCCCTCGGGCCCTTTCTCCCCCCCCTGCCGCTTGCTTACCTTTCCTAATTCTACTATCCTCCCGGTTCACCTCTTATCTGTCCCTTCCTGATTGTCGCGTTCCCTTATAGCTCCCTTCTCCCCCTTTGCATGCGACATGAATCCTCCCCCGTCGCATGACCAGGGTCGCCGGAGGTCCTTGGGCAGCAGTGGCAGTCCCGCGTTCCCTGGTGAGTCGCAGGTCGTAGGACTCGCGCAATAATCCCCTGATGTCCTTGCTATCTTGCTTGTTGCAACCACACTTGTTCTCTCTTGCAGTGTATCTGTTGTTTATGCTGATCGGACATATTGGCTAACTCCGACTTTTCTCTTATCATAGGTGTCCAAGAGCAGTCCGCTGCGCCGCCATTAGGGACGCGACGTATGCCTCCTCCCTCACCACCCCAACACTATCCCTCGAGAGGCCAAACGGGAAATGCTCCGTCCCTGTCCACTCCCTTCTTGTCGCGTGAGCCTCCCAGCAACCCGGCTCATCACCGTCCAGGGAGCAGCATGTCGATATCGTCCATGCTAGGCTCGGACGCTGACCGACCAGGCCGGGATGTAGGCTCTTCGTCCATCTTTTCGCGTCTTCCAGTCTCGTCCGCCCCGTATGGGAACGTCCACCCACCGTCGGCCCCCGGTGCCATGTCCCCGCCGACCGCGCCAGCGCGTCCGTCTCCGCTAGAATACCCAGGTTTCCGACGCTCCCAGACCCCCGAAAAGACCTTTGCGAAGAACCAGCCGTCACGTCAATACCGATCCGGCTCCGGCGGTGTTCCCCAACCCATGACAGAACAGGCCAAATTCGGTGGCTTGTCCCGCGGCCCGCCATCGTCGCAGTATCCCGACAAGCCCAGCTCCACCCATCCCTCGCCCCAGATATCGTCCGCCGAAGCCCCGTATAACGAACCACGCCGCTTGAGTTTCAGCGGACCCGCCCCTCGTCCCAACAGCCAGCCGCAGCACCTCGAACCGCCGCCTCGCACCACTGGATATAGTCCGCTGTCACGGCCTGCCGCCGTGGCCGGGCCCGGAGAGGGTCCATTTGCCGGTGCGCATCAGCGAGCAGCATCATATATGGGCCATGAGGCCCAGCATCACCGCTACGGAGGCCTGTATGCGGATCGACACGCGGAGGAACAGGCCCACCGCGAACGGGAACGTGCGATGGCGCACGAGGCTGAACCCAAGGCCGCGTCTCACCCTCCATCACGGTACGGGCCGCCTTACGGGGACCGGGAGGCTGCAGCGCATCGCCAACAAGGCGCGTCTGCCTGGGACTTGGGCCGGTCCCAGCCCCCGTCGCCTGAGACGAAACGGTTTTCCGTCCCGGAGGCGGGCCCTGGTTTTGGCTTTGGCGCTATTCAGAGCTACACCAAGTCTTTGGGCTCCCAGCTGGGAGGGTCGCGACAGCCCTCGCTTTCCGTCCATCCCCCTCCCAATCAGCCGCCTCCTCCGTCACACGATCAGCCATACCTCAGCAAGCTACAGACCGAGACTCGCGCCTTTCCGCCCACCTCGTCCGCTGGCCCACCCTCGGCCGTTCACTCCGCGTCGTCGGATGACCAGCGACGCAAAGGAAGTGATGAACTCATGGCGCATCGTAACCTTCTCGGGGTTGGATTAGATGCGAAACGAGGGGGGCGCGCATCGCCGCTGCCCCAGGCGGTGCAGGGTGCCCAGGCTCAAATCCTGGGTCCCGCGGGCGAGGCCGGAATTAAGAATGAGCTTGGCCGAGTTTTCTCCGGGATTGGAAGTGGTGTGGGAGGGGTCACTGCTACCACTGGTGGCAGTGGTCCTTCGACTCCCATGGCCCCGAGCCCGTTCAAACGAGACAGTGCGGCTGGTCGGTCCAGCAATGGGGAGACAGACGATCCCAAGATTGCTCGGCCTAGCTCAGCGAATGGGAAGCGATCGAGAAAGTCGCGCGACGAGGATGGTCGCGCCGAGAGCGAGGCGGCCGCCCTGGGTGCCCGCGGTCGACGGAGCCGGCATCTCCATCACCACCATCATCAGTACGTTTTTCATTATCCTTCAGGTTTGTGGTACCTATGCTAATGTGCACAGCCATCATCATCATCGCCATAAGCCAGAAGAAGAAGCTGCCGCTGCTGCTGCCGCCGCTCTTGGCTCTAGCCGTCCCTTGTCTTCGGTAAACTTCTTCCATCGAACGGCCACGCCCGGGGAAGGCAGCGCATCCGCCGCAGCGCAGGTTCTTGGACATCACCACCACCATCACCATCATCACCACCATCATGCTCCCCGACCGGCCGGGAATACGGCTGTCACACCTATGCGCGAGCCTCGCACGGTGGTTACTATCGAACCACTCCTGTCGAGCGTCGCCCATCTGCCTCGACACCACCTAGGCTCGACCTTGTATGCGCCCCGGATCGGCGCACCCACCGAGAAGGCAACCTTGGAAAGTGCCAAGTTCGGTTACACGACTACACCGCTTCCGTTGCCTCGCTTTGAAGGCAAGGAGAACTGCACGTTTACAATCCGTGTGCCGCGTTTCCGCATCGACACCAGCCATCGCGAGGAGATCTGCGCGCGTCGCGCCCTCTGGGGCACGGGCGTGTATACAGACGACTCAGACCCTGTTGCGGCTGCAATCCACTCTGGCTTCATCCGCGGTGCTTGGGGTGAGGACGTGGATGTAGATTTACTGGACCTGGAAATCAGGGACACGTATCAGCATGCACCTAAAACGGCGCAAGATGTTGGCGCGGAAGATGGCGAGCGACCCCGGGTGCCGCCAGTGCCACCAAACGACAAGGATCTGCATATTACGCTGCTGATTCTCCCCCGGCTGGAGCGATATGACTCCAGCGTGTTGTTCGGATTGAAGTCGCGAGCCTGGGAGGGCTCGCATGACGGCATGAGCTTCAAGGTGCAGCGAGTCGAGTGGGTAGATGAAGGGGTCGGGCGTGGTGAGGAGCGCAGTGGCGAGGCGCGGCGCAAACGCCTGCGCAATCTGATGCAGACCGGACGGATCTGCACAGGACCGGGAGTGATCAAATTGGAGCAGCTGCGAAACGGGGTGCAAATTCCCCGACGGAAGCCGCTGGAGGGACAGGAGTCGATGCAGGTGTCTTGACTCGGTGCAATTTCTCGAAGTTCATTGGTACGACTGCAGTAAGACTGTATCTGCAGCTGACGGCGTTGGAATTTTCTATGTATTAGCGAGGCGTGGCGAACTGAAACTCTTTAATCTACGGATATTGGCTTAATCCAGTTAATTCAAATGTCAACTGATCGATGCATCCATTAATACTGTCTATCCCCAGACCCAGCAAAAGATCGCAGAAGACAATCTCCTTCCCCCATAAACACCATCCAAAGCCACTCCCCCTTTAACAAAAACCCCACATCCGCTCTACTCCCTCCAATCCCAGTAGTACTATAATTCTTCACCGCATCCTCCTCATTCCTCCTCACCACCTCCTCCACCTTCCCCTTATACATCCGCATCAACACCTCACACCGCTCACAAAGCAACAACCCACACCCGATGCCCATCGCCTGAGAATCAGTGATTTCCTCCAGATATACATCCCTACTCTGTAATCTCGCACATCCATAAAACGCAGGATGCGGACACAGAGAACACCAGGGGTTAGTAGTAATTTGTAGTGAACTTGCTGAAGATAGAGATGATGATGATGATAATGATGAAGCGAGATTCGTATACGCGGCCTCGAAGTCGAATGTATTGGGGTCGTAGCCTTTTAGTGGGAGGATTTTGTGGGTCGTTGGTGCTGAGCTGGATTCAGATGAGGAAGTGGATGTAGTAGACGAGGTGGGTGAAGTTGATGATAATGTTGATGATGTGTGGGTGTGTGTACCGCAGAGCATTATCCGCAATCGTTCCAATGCACAGGTTACGCATATGCGTGTTATAGAAGTAGCAGTAGATAACTGAGGATGGAGTTCCATGTAATCACCTAATTTGTTCCCCGGGGGCAGGATTGGCAAGACAGAGATTGTTCGTGGGGGTTGGTACTGGCCGAAGAGGCTGTAGGGGAGGGAGGGGCAGAAGGAGCAGGTTTGGGATGTTGGGGTTAGGGTTATGGGGTGGGTGAGGGAGGTGGTTATTGTTGTGATTGTTTGGATTATGGGGGTGTTATTGATTTCTGGAAGAGTTGTTGTTGTTGTGTAGGTATTGGGGAGTGTAGTAGGTATGGGTTCACAGATAATAGTGTCCTGGATGCATTGTTCGCATGGGTACTTTGATATCTCTGTGTCTGGTTCTTGACTATTCAGGGATGGTGTGCTGGTTATTATGGAACATAGCCTCCCTGTCTCGATGCATGGCTTGCATGCTGACGATGGTGATGACGTTCCCCTAGCTACTTCTCCGTCTTCTATAAGCCTAAGTCCCTCGTCGGCGATTAGCGGGTCGTTGTCATCATCCTGATACATCCCAAACGTATCCAGAAAAGCCTTCCCGGCTTCACTTTCCATGTTGATCTTGATCTTCACGATGAGACTCAAGTGCCCGTTCTCCGATGATGAGGATGTCTTTACTCGCTTCACTGGCTTTTTGCGTTTCAGGTACGCTCGCTCGATTCGCGGGTCGTAGTCGTCGTTGTCGGTGCTGTCGTCTTCGTCGCGCCAGGAGGTAAGGATGGTAGTTGGGGTGGTGACTGGTGGAGGGCGTTTGCGGAGGGAGTATTCGCGTGCGGGAGGAGTAGTTGTAGGCTTCTTTCTGGTGGTAGTGGTTTGTTGCGTGCGCCGCCGTCTGGGTTTTGGTTTGAGGAAGAGGCGCTTTGCGAGGGCGAGGCGGGCGAGGAGCTGTTGGAGGGTTGGAGGTGTTGGCGGAGTTGGGGGGGACATTGTTGGTGGTGTTGTGTTCTGTGGTGGTGGTGGGTTGTAGGGATTGGAAGTGGGAGGGGAGGAAGCGTATAGGGTATGGTGGTAGGGCTGGGGAGGGAGTGAGGTGAGGATACTGGACTTGGTGGTAGGTGGTATAGGTTGTGGGTGTGGGTGCTGAGATGTGACTATGGAGTGAGGTTGTGTTGAACCCTATTGTTAGTGGGATGCTGCTTACTGGTGGTTATACTTCACTAGTCTACTTTTTCAGTAGTCAATGTAGAAGTCGTTGACAAGTAACCTGGGTATCATTCAAGTAAACTCACATCCTCCTCGCAGATACTCCTAACATCTCACAATCAACATCGCAGTGACATCTGACCAACATATAGCAAAGACTATTCCAAGAGCAAATCACTCAAATCCAACACTAACCCAAAGTGACAACTTCGCTAAATCAACAACATCACAAACACATATCAGCAAGTCATCCACCTCCCCTCAAGCGACTCAAACATTCGTTCTGTTCCATCCCAAACATCATTCATCCACTAAGTCACCCCTAAGCATCGTCTTGGCTACGTCGTATAGGAGATAGGCACACTATCACACCATCAGCAACGAATTCTACCTCAAAGGTCAGTCACACCAAATGAGTATATACTCACTAAAAGGCCCAATAAAAAACCATAAAAATCAAAAAGCCTACAGACGCAAAACCGATGATGTACATGAAGAGCTTGCCACAGGCCCAACAGCATTCTGCGGCTCCTGAAATGCTTGTTAGCATGATCTCTTTTGCATAACTCAATATCCAGAGGGCTTCTTACCACATGATTCGGTAGGTCTCTGTTCCAATGCCTTTGTTTGCTCCTGAGCAGTTGTCTGGCCCTGAGTGGTCCCCGGCCAAGGGGTGTCACAAGGCTGAGTCGGTGCAGTGGTATATGTTGACAAGGGAATGTTTTCCGTGGATGGGCTATGGTTGTTGGCTTCTAGATCGATGATCTGGGACGAGTAGTGGGTGACTTGGCCGTCTGTGTACTTCATTTTGCTGGGAGTATAAGGTGAGTTTGAGGTGGTTGTTTAGTATATTGAGGGTTAGATGTGTTCGTGGTTGATGCGGATAGTGTAGTGGGTTTGATGGGAAAGAGAGTATAATGGTGAAGAAAAAGAGAAGAAAGGAATGTAGATTCGTGATGAGGAATAGGAGATCCCGTTGTGATGATGCCATAGTATATCATGACAGGGTGATGCTGTCCCTGGTGAGTCAGATGTGTCGCTATTGTGATGTAGATGACTTTGACATTTTGGTGCTGCGGGTTTGTCACTATAAACATAAAAGCGCCTTATTTTAGGTTTCTAAAATATAGTTAGCGATATTATAATGGTTTGAATCTATTACAAACCTGAGATACTCTGTCCCTTTGATATTGATCTGTTAGCGGCAAAAAGCCGATGGCAAAGCTGTAGGGTTTAAGACATTAGTAAAAACCGAGTTATCTCACGTTGAGGATACAGAAGCTACGATATGTACTGGGCTTTTGAAAGACATATACTAGGCTGATATACCTTTTCTACGCAGGACCTACGAGCACCGATCATTAGTTTGAGTAATTCAAATGACGAAGTTGCAATCGAGGACTACGAACTCAACCCAACTTGTACAAAGGTATACCCGAACTACTGGTAGATAAAGAGGAATACGAGTCAAACCCAAAGATGCGGGCGGTAAATCATTTATATTTCAATTCAGGATCATAATTCTATCTTTCATACCACATACCATATGGCCTTCGCGTATGGGTACAAAAGCCTGTAGGAAAACCCTCATGGGGACGAAAACCTACAGGAATCCCTACTACACTAGTTACATAGTATCCCCATACAAAAGGCAATACATCCAAAGCCATAATGAGTTCCATCCATCGCCAAGAAATAACCAACTCTTGACTGCTGTTTGTGTTGTCGGATAGACCGTTTCTGCACAGCAGTTAGGTTACTACGCTGCTACTATGTAAGGACTTATATACTCACATAACCGGCGACGTTGGCGCATCTTCTCCTTCCTCTCTAGCTCAGCGGAGACGATCTGCCATCCGGTGTAGATTTGATGCCTGTTGCATGTTAGCCAGCTCTTTTATTAGAGGAGTCAACTGAGCTTACCAAGTCTCAAGGACTGCCACGACGTCGATGCCATCCCGGGTGATGTATTGGCCTCTGCGGGGTATGCCGAGGTCGACTGGCTCGGTATCGTTGGTAGCGATATTGCTATCAGTTTTATCGTAGTCGTTGCTGATGTTGTTTTTGTTGTTGGTAGCGTTTGTAGTAGTGGTGGCGGAGATTCTATTATTGTAATAGTTGTTATCAGGGCTCTTGATAGCCTTGTCGACACTCTTGTTGATCATGTTGTTGTAGCTGGATTTGGCGATCTTATTGTCGCTCTTGTTGGTATTATTATTCACTTTGCTGATATTCTTGCCATTACTAGCAGCGGTAGTAGCGATCTTCTTATTAGAAGAGTTAGAAGTAGATGACATCTCCACAATATTGGAGGAGTTCTTGTTGGTAGGATTCCTCTTCTTGGAGGACTTGAAGATAGAGGAGAACGTAGATGAGAAGGAAGGCATGGTGGTAGATAGGGGATGATTAGTAGGAATGTAAGGTTGAGTAGTTGGTTGGTTGAAATGACAAAGTAAAAGTCGAAGTTGAGGTTCGATCAAGAATGAATATTAGTTAAGGGTGTGTTGGTGAAGTTTTTGTAGTATAGTCGAGTTGAGTGTGGAATAGTAGTAAACGAGGTGGTTGTCGAAGGAGAAGTTTTGGAGCAAACCCACTGAGATCTGGACAAGCTTTATAGTTGACAGAATTTTCTGTATAGCTCATCGTGACTCAGTTGACTGGTATAGAAGATTTGGAGACATGATAGTCGTGATTTTGACGTCTTTTGCGATTTTGGAGGGGAATCACGGCTGGGTGACGCTATACATGATTTCACGGTGACTGCTATACATTGTGGGAGGATACAGGAACAGCCCATGTAGATCCAGCTCGAAGAAATAAATGGAATGGAGAGCTCTGAAGACGAGCCTGGAAGCTTGAACCGTAGCGGCTTGTCATAGTCATAGTCATCCGGTGCGAGGCATTATCCGACACAAGTTCCATGGATTGCAGCATAGTACTATAAGGTTATCTGATAAAGACTTGGACAGAATCGAGCCTATTTATAGATAAGCCCACAATGTAGAGCCTATGAGTTTCTGTAAATATCAGCTTCAGTAACGGCTGAGGTTTCTATTAGAAGGTAGTGTAGTCCACTCTGGATCATTGTAAATCTCGTAAAGGTCTATGAAAGCTCCTCATCTAGTCACTCTTCACGTAAAATGTTTTTCGTCAAGGCAAGACAAGTGAAATTCAAGTGAAATTGAGCTCCACAAGCCTAATACCTCTCCTCATACTTATCATCATAATCTTCATCGTGACCATCCACATACTCATCATACCTATCGTCCATATCATCCGAGAAATAGTCATTATCCGGGGCAGCGGCAGTATGGGTCTCATGTGTGCTCCATCCCGAGTAATCATCATCATCTTGTCGCATGCCCGTCAGCCCAGACCGGCGGGATTTCACCTGCGACGGATGGGGCCGCGGTGGAAGCCGGCCATTCACCCTCTGCTGCACCGCTGAGTTCCTTGGTCGCTGTTTTGGTTGTAGATCTGGATCCTCCTCTGGAGGTTGATAATTTGGTCGGGGGGGACCTGGATGTCGAGGCCGCTGCGCCAGACCTTGGCCGCTGTACCCACGCCGAGGTGGACCGGGTCGTGGCGGATCGTATCTCTGCTGTGAGGCACGAGGTGCAGGGGCATAATTCGGACGCCGAGCTCTCGGCAGCTGAGGACGGTAGTCAGGTCTGTGATTCATGTTGGGATCGTGGTCATCTGCTCGAAGGCCATTGTCCCTAGCATTGTCCATATCAGTACAGGCGATGGCATCGTAGAGGTAGTCATCGAATCTTTCAATGGTCTTGGCGACAGAAACGAACTGCCGATAGTCCAGTGTACGTGTTGCCTGGGGACCGTTGCTAGCCTTCTTGATATTCGGTTCAACATCCTCGTCCCATTGATCCTGTGAGTCTCTCTCCATTTCGTAATGTGCAAGAGAGTACGCTATCTGAAATGCGTTTCGGATCTGTCTACCATTCCATCTCTCATACTGCTCATGGGTGTCGTAGTGCCAATTTGCATAGTCCATGATGGACGCACGGTTAATTGCCAACTCCGGTTCCCTGAGAGCGCTGGAATCCCCATCTACCTGCAGCATTTGCTTCGCCCTTTGAATATCATTCAGCTTCCGGATATTGAGATCGAAGATGGCCAGAGTCTGATCCTTGTCCAACGGTGGGTAATAGAGGCTGACGTGGATGCGCGATTTAAAGGCCTCATCTAGGGTTCCAACCCGGTTCGTAGTGAGGAAGAGAATGCCACTGTAGTATTCGAGGACTCTGAGAAATACTAGAGAATAGCCAGCATTTCTAAGATGACATTAGGGTGGCGGTGAATAGTATCCTTACCTGAGACGAGGGCATTTCGCTTCAGGTCACTCACCTCTCGGCGAGATAAGAAGACGTCAGCCTCATCAAGTAACAAAACACAATCCCAAAGATGAGCCAGGCGAAAAATATCCTTGAGAGAGGCGTCGACTTCTTTCGGGGTAAAGCCAAGATCACCGCAAGTGATGACAAAGAGGGGCTTGTTGTTGGCTTGAGCAACAGCCTCAGCTGTGGCTGTTTTGCCCACACCAGGAACGCCATGTAAAAGAATGACCAACCCTGAACCCTTCCCTCGAATCAGGTCCTGATTTAAGCTGGCATTAGGCTGATGCTTCTGAATTTCTTGCCTCGCAAAATGCGTTTTGACCAGTGACCTGACCATGCGCTTGTGATCCGGGTCGATCTTAAGATCTTTGAAAACGTTTTGAGGTGCAGGATCCTTCTTCTTCAATCCACGAATGTCGACCATAACGAACTTGCGCTCGCGAAAAGCATATGCGATGACGCGGCGTGGCAGGAGTGCGAGGTCATCTCCACCGAGTTGTCGCATAGTTCCGGCTTCCCATGCATTAAGAAATCTGTCCTCTTTCAGACGGCGCTTGGTCAGCCAGCCGCCGAACCATTCGCCTCGCTGCGTAATTTCCGTGATTTCCCCAAGAAGTTTGGATCGCGAACCGTTTATCCAATGCTTGATATAAAGCTCATCATCTCCTACCGGCCAGTCAGAGTCATCAAATGAGTCTAGACCGTCAAACGATGGTGATCTCAGAGAAGACTCTGCCTTGTATCCCTCGAGGAAGTCAATAATTACATCGCCATCAATGTGCTCGGAGGCTATTCGATGCTCCGAGTCAGGATCCCCGGTTGGTCCATGGACGAGCGTCCATCCGTCGTAGTAGAGGTGCCTCTCTCTCACGAAATTTTGGAATTGTGATCCCTGGTCTCGAAGGCTCTTCATCATCGCCTCAGAATCCTTCGCGAAACGCATCGGATAGACTTCGAGGGTCGTGATGTCTCTCTCCCCAGCATAATCCGGGATCTCGAACTTGTGTCGAACCGGTCCATATGAGGACCCGTTGTAGTCAATGTAATAGCCATAGAGTGTCAGTTCTTTTAAGGGATTGACTCGCGTGTCATCAAGGTAGTCATCCTGGATCGGTGATAACACCATGGAGTAAAGTCTCCAGGCATTTTGGTACATCTTGACATTGGCAGACTTGGCTGTCCCCGACGTCTGCGAGAACTCCGACCTAGGGGGTGCATAGAGGAGCTCGCCGGGTTGGAATGACATCCAGAGGTCGGGAAAGCGAACCTTACGTTGACTGGTGCCGGCAGCGCGGTTCCAGAGCGGCACGATCTCTGCTTCCACAAATTTGATATATCGTCGAACATGTCTGAGTCCAGTGACCGAGTCCACAACTGGTCCGGCGACGGCCTCTTCCGGATCCACGGACCCAGCATCGTCACCAGCAATTGATTCATCATCCGTGTCGCCGTTTAAGTCGTCTGGCGCCTTTACTTGTTCGCTCTCAGCTTTGGTCTTGGCCTCGGCCTTTGTAGCAGCTCCTTGATCCCCGTCTCCCTGCGCTTCGATTTTGGCCCACTTTGCCTCAAGAATTCCCAGACACTCCTTCATCCGGGGTAGGTAGTAGTAGAATGCTCGGAAGGGTGGAAAGAATACCCGCGGTTTGTTGATTGCCCAGTTATCATTATGTCCGCTCAAGCGCGAGAGCAGAAGAAGAATCGGTGGCGATTGGATCCGAACGCGCTGAATCCAGCTCGACTCAGCATCCACGATCGACTTGGGCAACCTGCCTTTTATTTTTCTCTGGTACTTCTGCCGCACATAATATTCTTTCATGATCTCGTGGTTGATTTGCGGATGGCCTCGTAGGACTTGGATTATCTCTAAGCCTTCGCTTGGGGAATAGCAGTTCTTGAACTGTTCGAAATTAACCCATTTAATGTCGACAACCTTTGGCATCTTCTGTAGCTTGTCTTCCCATGATTCTTCCTCCTTTTCAGACTCGGTCGTGTTGTCATCCCCGTTTGGTGGAGTGACAGTTGTGTCGGCAGGTGTATCATCTTTGCCCGAGTCCACAGCAACGTCCACAGGGCTCATCATGCCGGAGGGGCTTTCCTCCAGGGTAGTGGCCTCGGTGCCGGTGGGTTTGACGACGGCCGGCGGCACAGTGTCACTTTCTGGATTGGCCATGATTGTAGCTGGACGAGAGGACCGTTTGCTTGAAGCTGTCTGAAAGGGCTGAAGACGATTGATCCACCAGTAGTTTAGTTAACCTGCAACAGCAAGAAACTGGCTGGCAGCTGGTCGGAAACTTATGATTGGATTCTCCTTAGCGAGTCGTGGGAATGGTCGGATCGTAGGAATGCTCCTGCTTTAAGTAGGTGGAAAGAATGGAGAAACAGCCGCGTGTTGGCTGTCATGCTGAACCAGGATCCCCCGGATAAAGGCTGTCCAAAGGGTACTTTTGGAGATGGCTTGTGGAGCCCCTAAGAATCCGAATTGGATTGATAACACGGCTCCTCTCGACGTCGGCGCATCTCACTTGCGGTCAAATCCACATAGCGTTCTCAGAATGGCTGAGCTGAAGAGCTGAACCTGTGGCATCGGATTGACGTGCTGGTGATCGACAAGCTGAACTGTGGAGCTGACAGGACCATACTCGTTCCGGATTTAGCTGCGTGATCAATGCAGAGAGCATGCTCCACAGCGCTCGCTTTCGAGCAGCCAGCCCATTTATTTCGATCAACGCCGCGATAAGCGGGACAAAAAAGGAGGCTGTGTCCATAGAGTGTAGCCGATACCTTTACTATGTAGATCGAGCGGCTTGGTTCGTTTTCTGACAGTGCCATTGTGTTGAGATCCCTCAAGTCAGCGCAGGGCTGCTTTCTCCTTTTTCGGTACTGGATGAACTATCTCAAGTTTCATCCCACCATTATCACCTACCAGTCATCAGGGAGTCAGCATCACATTCGGTCCAGTCCTCTATTTATGCCTGGTCAAACAAAATGGACTTGAACTGGAAAAATCCCGAAAGAAGAGAAGTCGCGACAACTGCTACGTTTATCGACTCAGAAGCTCACAAGATCCATGACGGGTTTGGAGGGTCGTCCAAGTTCGACCTGGAACGGGGGGAGTATGTGCAGTTTCGGCCTTACTTGTAAGCTTCATTCGATCCTTGCTGTGTCAACCTGGGGCATTTCCTGATGTGAGTCTAACAAAAGCAATCAGACAGTTGGAAAGGGCTTTGAAGATCTACATAGGCACTGTCCTGGGCATCCGTGTCCAGGGAGATAGCTGGGATGACTTGTGCGAAAGAATAAATCACACAGAAGATCGATATCGCAATCGTAAGGAAGGTCTTTGGCGATCGATATGGTACAAGATGGGCGACTATAGTGGTATACTAGACGGGTGGGTCGCCCTCATACCAGATGCGTATGGGCTTGCTGTAGTCAAAACTGGTCTTGCAGTGGTGTTCAAGGTTAGTCTCACATGTTCTGTGTATATCTTGTTGAGGGTTGTACAAATTCTGGGACTCACTTTGCTAGCTTGCCGAAAACTCAGCAGAGAAACGAAACAAGATCTTCAACACGTTCGCGGAGTTGCGAGATGCCCTCATGCGAGCGGATCCAACACGAACGAGCTTTCGAGCCAACAAAGAAGTCGCAACCTGCGCAGAACATCTCTATCAGACTGTTGTGGATTCTATCGAGGATATGATACTATTGACATCGCAGGATAAATCCACATGTAAGTGGCAACCGTACATCATTCCCTGGAATATAATAGTTGTTGATCATGGTTAAGGGCGAAGATGCATTCCTAAGTTCAAGCATAAGACACCTGCTCCCGATCCTGATACAATTCTGCAAAATGTGGCAGATCGAACCAAGGAATTTGAGCGTGCTGTTGGCATGGCTCGAGACCAGGTCATCGAGAGCACGGCAGTGGTGTCTCAGGATACCAACATCAGGACTACTATGATTCAGTGGGACGTGAGCTCCACGAAGAACAACACAGAGATCCTGAGGTCAGATATTGAGAAGAGTGGTGCGAGGCTTGAGAGTGTTGGTGGCGAGGTGGGCGAGTTGCATGGCTTGGTGTCTCAGATCAGCTCTGGCATGGAGCACATGACCATGGAAACCACGGGCCTAAAGAAAGGCATCGATGAAAACACAATCTCCCTGAAGAAAGAAAGTGAGAATAATGAGAGAAGACACCAAGAGTTATGCAACCTCATCATCGGGCAAGTTGAGGCGAAGAGCAAAATCGCCAAGCGAGAGAGCGCCCTGGAAGACGGCTCACGTAGTCTAAAAAACCAACTCATGACGCTCCTTCTCGAGGGTAAAAGTAAGTAAAGAATGCGGGCCTGGGTGAAGCAATTACCCAAGCCACTTTTTTAGCTGACATCAAATCTCACAGAGAAAGATGCCGAGATTGCCATGCTGAAAGAACGACTCAATCAGAACCGGAAACGCGGCGCAGTGGTCAGCTTGAATCGTTTCTGCGAGATTTTAGCCCAGCCCAGCTCTACTGAAGATAAGCCAGTCGATATAGAGCGCATGTTCCAGCACCCAAACGAAGACTTCAGACGAGCCCTCGTGCACAAGAGTAGGTTCAATGCAGCCACTCAAGGCCAAGTCCAATCGTTGCTGCGACATGAACGGTTACACCGATGGGTAACCAGCCATCACCCCGACCTGATTCTCGTCGACGCGAACATCAGCTCGTCCGGCCTGTCAAAGGTGTCCGCCATATCAGTCTTTTGCGCCACCTTGATCTCTAGCATGATGGAAGTCCATCCTGACGAGGTGGTTGTCCAATTCTTCTGTGGATTACACACCGCTCCCCTAGATCCCTGGCACGGGCCGAACGGTCTAGTCCGTTCTATTGCCATGCAGCTCTTGATGAAACTAGTCAAGATGAACATTCTAAACTTGGGGTTCATCAACGATCGAGACTACCTGAGAGACCTTGAGCAGCACGACTTAAGGAAACTCTGCGACACATTCTACTCGCTTGTGTCTCAATTCCCGGCCGACACGAGAGTATACTGCATCATCGACTCCATTTCTTGGTTCGACAAGGACAGGACTTTTGCAGAATTAGCCACTGTAATGGAATGGCTGCAATACATGGTTGAGGACCGGTCATTGATTCCTATATTCAAGATAATGCTGACAAACCCGATGAAAAGCAACAGGAGAATGAAGGAGCTTCCGGTGTTCAAAGAGAACCCGTCTAGACTTGTCACTCTGTCTTCGAGGAACCTGATACCCATGGGAATATCTAACAGAGCGATCGAGCGTCAACTTTCCAGATCCCCGTTTCCATCACCACTCACACCCAAGAAGGTGGTATTTAGAACAACAAGATCAGAAAGTTATGACGATGAGTATGATGAATGGTAACAACCTAGGTGATGACGGCGGTTGAATATTTATGACTGCATGCTTCACTTGGATGACTTGAAGATGAAGGGCATATAACTATGCTGTAATGCTGTTTCTTGACTTCCTCTTCAATCTCACATGCGATGTTGTGATTACGTAGTGGCGTCTGGAACTGCTGCCTCACCACGATAGCATAGGGAGCCGGTGCGGCAGAAAGTCGAAAGAGTCTTTCTAGGAAGAAGCAAAATGTAGACTGATGCCGTAAATTAATCTTTCTGTAGGTAAAGTACACAGTATGAAGTCACAACGCCCGACACCCCATGGTAAGTCCTTTAAAAAAATGCACCATCTCTCTGCCAGCCAAACCCATCCAATCAAAAAAATTTGCGCTACTAAAGGGTATTGATCGTCAGAAGAACGTTAAGTAAGCCAGCGCCGAAGGCCAGCAGATAAAAACATAAATATAGAAAAAAGCCCAGATCAGCTCTGGAAGCTGTACATGCGCACTTCGCAATCCTCGCTTCCAGTAGCAAACCGACTGTCACCAAGACCAATGCAGGTGACAGGGCCAGAGTGGCCGGTGAACGTGCGCTCGCACTTCCCGGTTCGCGGATCCCAGATCTTGATCATCCGGTCCTCAGCCCCAGAAACAATACGCAGTGTGTCCGCTGCCAAGGCCCAGACACCCTCCAAATGGCCGAAGAACGTACGCAGGCACCGGCCGGTGCTGGTCTCCCACAAACGGATTGTCGAGTCCAAAGCGCTAGTAACAATGTAGCGCGGCGGTGCTGTCCGACCAGACTCGAAAGAAGGACCAAATGGTGAATTCTGCGAGATAACTGCATTGGACTCGAGGCCAAGGGTGGCCTGAAGAGATGCCGGCTCGGTGTCACCGGAGACAGTACTAAGGTTGTCGTTCTCACATTCCACGTCATGCTCTTCGAATTCAAATTCCCGGGGAAGAGGGACCACCTGTTGAACTTGTCCCACATGGCCATGGAACGTCCGGATGCAGGACTTGGTATCCAAATCCCAAAGCCGAACCGTGCAGTCGTCCGACGCCGAAAACACCGTGCGAGAGGCTGTGTCAACCCGAACCGCGTTGACCCAGTCCGTGTGTCCGCGTAAGAGGCAAGTTGACTTGTCCTCAAAATTCCAGATCTTCACAGTCTTATCAACAGATGCGGATGCGAGGATAGTAGCGTCAAAGTGCAGCCCGATTACTCCGCCACGATGACCAGTATACGTGGAAATGCAGTCGCCAGTGCGCCAGTTCCAGACTTTGACGCTGCCATCCATACTACCACTGATCAACTTCGTGTCATCAAACTGCAGGCAACGGATACCCGATTCGTGTCCCCGAAGCGTGCGAATTTCCTGGCCCGTTTCGGTATCCCAGATCTTGATCGTCGCATCGTAAGATCCGGTTGCCAGGATGTTGTCCTCGAATTGCAAGCACATCACGCCATTTGTGTGGCCCTTGAAGATTCTGATCGAACAGCGTCCGTACTTCCAATTCGTGCCCACCTTAAAACGATCCTTGTAGACTTCCTTCCAAGGTCTGTACCGGGTTTTGAAATAATCTTCGCTTCCTTCTGGGCGCATCGCTAGCGACTGGCAATGGCGTTTGACGACAGCAGTCTCTTCCTCGCTTGGCTCAGGCTTTCGTTTCCCTGTACTAGTACCAACGCTGCTGTCGGCAGCAGGCGAAGAGCCCTCAAGGAGCGCAGGAGTCTCTTTCGGAGACGGGCTGTTGACGTCCCAGGTCGTGGCGCGAAGCTCAATCTCGCGCTTCGATTCACGGAGCCTCTTCCGATCCAGAAGAGGAAGTCCCCAGCCACATTTCTTGCACTTGCGATGAATATGTTGCTCGCACATGCGATGCCAGACCACATCGTCGTCGGCCAGCGCCCTCCAACGTCGCGACACCTGTGCGGCTTTACAAAGAGAAGTAGTGTCCAGGTAGCACAGAATTTTGAAAGAGATCTCCGGAGGAAGAGCGGCAATGAAGTCGATTCGGATGAGGTCACGGACGGTGGTGGAAATGAACGAGAGTTGAGGGAAGCAGCATTGAGCCATTATTCCCTGGAGTATGAGTTTTCGGTGCTTGGCTGGGGCGGCTGAGAAGAGCGACCAGACATGCGCAATGCCCTGCTGATCACTCTGAGGGAGCGACTCCAATTCCTAGGCCCCCGTTAGTCCATGATCATGAATGCAAACAATTTTTGCGATGTCCTTCGGACGAGAATGGTAGAGGACATACCCGTTGCAATTTATCCATTGTCGGTTCGTCGGCCTGCCGGCGACACTTACGGTCTGGGCGATGTCGATAGCAATAGCGGGAGTTTGCGCTGCTCAAGGCGGCAGGTTCTCTGTTTTGCGATCCCAGGGGGGCGTATTGGTCGGGAACGTGCTTTGCGAGGAAAGGGGCGACACTTTTGCCCACGAGCTTGGCCGAAGTTGCTGTTACGTTGTTGCGATTGTGGGGCTTCAGCTGGCTATTGTCGGCATCAGCATCGATCTCCTCCGCGGGCTCGGCGTGACCACCGAAGATCGACGTGAAGGCCGGGGGCGAGGATATGGCTTTCTCCTCCTGAGACCGTGTGCTTTCCATCTTGCTGATTTGAAGAACTGTGGTAAATTCTCCCACGCGACGGCAGTCCGAAGTTGTGCCACTGGAACCGCAGCGCCGCTACTCGCCCGCTAGCGTGGCCTCGGCTACTGTAACCAGCGAGCTAGAAGCGCAGTCGTGGATAGCACCAGGCTGTATGGCCTCAAGATATACTAGTAATTTCTGCGACGGGTATTGCGCAGAAATAAAGAGAAATAAGGTGGTGATAAGATAGTTGACTGGTGAGGACCCTGAGGAGAGAGGGGGTGTTTGAGTGAAGTTGAGTAAGTTGCCAATGACCAGGGCGGAGGACGGAGAAGGGTGGACGGGAGGCGGGAGACGGTCGCAAGTGGTGCAGGGCGATAAAAGGCTGTTAGTACAGAGTAGGTAGATAGACCGATAACAAGGAACGATAGGAGCTTGATCTGGACCAGCCAATCTCAAGAAAAGTGACCAGACAATCCTGGGGAAGGAGTATAAATATAAATGCTGAACAGAAGAATTCCAGAAGAATAACGAAGGAAAAAAGACGTGATCACGCAAAGGCCGATGATGGACTCGTGCTGCCAGTCTCGATTGGGTCCAATCACGTGCTAGCGATGGCGCCATCGCCGCCTCCCGTCGCAACATCTCTCTCGCCCTTCACTAAGCACCACTAAGCAGTACCGCTGCTGGTGCTTCTCTCCAGCGATCATCCCCCCCAAACTATTGCTATCTGGCCGCTGTCGCCATCGCCGGGGTCAATTGCGGATCCCCGACTTTGACTCAGATCCTCCAGACGATCGGCTAACTAGCTAGTCTGCTAGTGAGGGAGCTGCAGTCGAGCTGGTCCTCGAGCCGAACTCCTATGGGCCCTCCGAGACGCTAAGGTCGCCTGCCTGAACTCCATCCATCCCGTCCTCTATCGTCACCTCCCTCTCCAATCCCGCATTTCCAGGCCTCTGGTCTTTCTGACCCCTGCTGCGAGGCGCAATTGCTCCGCTCAGGTATTTTTGGGTCCTATTCTAGCGTCGACTTTCTGGATTGGCGTTACTCCCATTGCTCGTACAATATCACACTTCTCACTGACGAAGCGTTGGGTATCAACCACCGGCTCCTCAGACCAGTCCTGGGCACGATAACTCCCCCTCTTGCCTTCCATCCTGCTTCTTCTGCAGGCTTCCTTGTTTGCTACTGCAGGCGGTACGACAGGAAGCACGGTCGACGGAGACTTACACAGGTGTTACCTTACTAGGTCTTGTTGACCAGTCATCTGCAAACTCACCGCCAGATCCTTCTTTTTACAGCAGGGCCTCGTCGATCGCACTTGAAACTGAGAACTGACGAAATCAAGGACTCGAAAATTTTCTGATTCCATTATTGTTACAGCCCCATGAGGTGATTGTGCACTAGATTTATGACTTCTTACGACATAGCTACTGTAACGTTGCTCCGAAACTTACTCCTTCCGGCCGTTGAACGGCTCTGCCCTGAACCACTACACTCTGCTGTTTTATCGGGCATTATTGAGCCATTCTGTCAGGCTATCACGCCAGCATTCCTTCTTTCGCTATAATTTCCAATCAGCGTCAATTACGCCGACCCCTTTTCCAAAATGTCAGCATCAGGGTCATTATCGGCCGGCAGCGATGCGTCTGGCCCCGATTCGCCAGCTGGAGACCAGGGCAACGCATTGCCTCAGTTGGATTCTCTCATTTCCCACCTGGTGGCAGCAAAACGGTCCCTGTCATCCATCAATCACGTGTGGCGTGCCAATGAAATTGTAACTTCCGCTCGCTCTGCACTGGAAGAGAGTGTCGTGATTTCCGCACGGACTGGCTTTCTCCGACGCGGACTTAACAATCAACTGCGGCTTTTATACAGTGTCCGCTCTGAAGTCGAAGAAGTCTCCCTCCGGGGCCGGTCGGAGTTCGCTAGTGTTTTGAAAAGCCTGGACACTGCTGATGCCCGATTGAGAAAGACGCTTGACTCCTTACGGGATACAATCGTTCACTCTTCATTTCGTCCCGACGGCGAAGAACCCAGAAGCTTACATGACTTTGTGGATGAACGTGGAGTTGAGGAGCTTCGTGCGGCTTTGAAGAGCTCAATTGATCGCACCAATGAGGCGCAGGCGGAACTGGATACTTCCAACTCCGCGTTCGATGATGAACTCCAGTCCATCAAGCAAGCTCTTGGTAATTACCGAGAAGCTACCAAGTTAGCTTCCTCGTCCTCATCTTCGTCATCCGCGTCTAATTCGAGCCTGCCGTCGTTGTCATCAATGCCACCCATGTTACAGTCATTGGAGATGCATGCGCAGGAAATGGCCAATCTGCTAGAGTCCTTAGTTCAGCATTTCGATCTTTGTGTAACTGCTGTAAAACACACGGAAGGTGGTGGAGCTGCCGCGCGATCCATTACCGGGGATATGCCCGCTGCCGTCACCGTCAGTGGCCGTGGAGTACCTAATATCGAGCAAGGCATTCATGACAATCTGAACGCCCCACTTGATCCCCTAAGTGAGTCTGACTATCAGGAGATGGTGAATGTCTTGATCAAGGATGCAGCAGAGGCCGAAGACGTGGTCATGGAAATTCAAGATCGCATTGGCGACATGGAGTCAATACTTGAGAACGTCTTGTCTCAACGTGACGTTCTT